CGACTGCACGAGGGCACCGTGCTGCGGGAACGCTGCGCCGTGCTTTGCAGCTCTCCTGCCCTGGCATTTAACGTGCACGTCGAAAACTCCGGCAGCCACACAACCCGCTTCAGAAGCAGCATCCAACGCCTTGAAACAAGGTTTGTGGGGCCCTGCTTTCAGCGTTTGCAGACTCCGCAGTCTTTGAGCTGCCCAGCATCACCAGAGCAAAGGGGTTTGGCAAAGGAAAAGATCTGAGCAGAGAGATCGGAGTCTGGGAGCAAAATTCTGAATGTGGAAAAGGAGTACAGGAGAGGTGGAGCATGTGAAAGAAACTTCTCTCCCTTTGGGCCATGCTAACGTTGTGTGCTAACACAGATGACAGAGAAAGAGCCAGTTCTGCCTCAGAATACACCGCAAGGCAGAGCATCAGCCACCACTTACAGCGTGCTCCAGAGGTGCTCAAACGTTGTGCCTTCATCGGCTGGAGACGACTGGGACATCTTCACAGAGGGGGACTCCGACAGAGGATAAATCACTCTAGGGGCAAAGAGAAACAGCGAGGTTACAGCACTGCTGCCGGGCTGCAGATCACAAAATAAACCCGCCGGGCTTTCCCGTAGGGGTGGCATTTCTGGTGACGATGTCACGGGTCGATGCTCTTACGAGTATGTGGGTATTTTGGAAGGGGCCAAAGCAGCAGGGTGGTGGGGTGTCAGCCCGGCTCTGCTAAGCACTGATCCTGTGACTCAAGGCTTCCATTTGAGATATTTACAGTGTGCTTCAGCGTGGGCACAAACAGCAGCCCCCATCCTGGGCAGGGGTCACACCACTGTTCTTAGCAGTCACTCTGGAGCAGCTTCATTCAGCAAAGAGCTGAGACTCTCCGGGTAGACACAGCAACACCAAACTCCTGAGTATCAGCTCTCTGAATCAAACCGAAACCCCAAGATAGGAGGTAAAAAAAAAATCTTCAGCAAGAACGAGAGCCGAAGGCACCCTCGTTGCAGCCCCTGTCCGGGCTGCCGGGCTGCACGGTGTGGTCCCTGCCCCCTGAGAGCAGCCCCTGTGCCTGGCTGCTCAGGGCCCAGCACCAGCGGAGCTGTGGGGAAATCCTGCTCCACGGATCTGGGGAATATGGGAGAGACACCCCTGTCTCTGAATCCCAGCAGTGCCACAGATTCAGGCCACGGGCCATACCCTGTAGGCTGGCACACGAGACATCCTCGGCTGCCACCAGCTCCCAGCAAGGCACGCCAGGAAAGCGGGATCGCAGAGCTCGGAGCGCTGGCAGGAGCTGAGGCATCCCCCGTCACCAGGGGCCACTTCAGAAGAAGCCTGCCCGTTTCGATGCAGCCCTCCAGGCCTGATCTGGGTTTGTCCACTTCAGGCACAGAGCAACTTTTATCCCAGGAACATCGTTTGCCAACAGGCCAGCATGTTTTTCTCAGGAAGCTCTACTTGGAAGTGCCACAAATCCGCACAGGCACAAAGACAGGTAAGAGCCTCACATGCACAGGGCAAGATATCCTAAATATCGCTTGTTCAGACACTGAAATGACCTTCCCACTTCTAAGAAACATTATTGAATGGAATATTACGCCCTCCAGGTGACACAAGGCAGGAATCTCTGCAGACGGGGCAGCGTCCCTGGGAGCAGGCGCTCCGCTCACCCCGCGCTGCGCACGGGAGGTCGGTGGCAAAGCCCATTCTTCAGCCAAAGCCTCTGCACGCGGCTGCCCGGGCACAGCCAGAGCCACGCTCAATCCGACCTGCTCCTCCGGCCCCGGGACAACGTTTCTTGGCCCCTCTCAAGCCGAAGGCAGCCCGCACCCTACCTCGGCTCTCCCTTTGTGCCCAGCACCTCTCCGACCCCAGCGGCAGGAGCGGCAGCGTTTGCGGAGCCATCTTGAGCCCCACGCTGCCTTCCTCTGCTGGCAGCCCCGCCATCTGAGCGTCCTCCTCCTCCCTCACCTGCTCCCCAGAAGCACCAGGACCATTTCCCTGCCCTGCTTGACACGGATGTTCCCCAGGCACCATCTGACTACTCCTTTTACCCACGCCAGCGTTAGCATCTCGTTTCAACTCGGTACCGACATCTAATAGTGAAAGCCCGAAAGCTTCCTGCTTTTGGGGCCCGAGCCGCCGAGCGCGAGGGAGCCA